CATACATTTTAAATTTTAACTTCAAAAGAAAAATATCATTTTAAGATTATTAAAGTTTAGGAAACACAAATTTGACAAGTCTATTATTAATATGTATGTTCATTATAGAAAAACTGTCATTAAGTAACAAGATAAAAATCACCTATGGATGAGCAGCTTTACTTTTGTAGATGTTTTGAGCATAGCCATAACTTCTTCACAAAAACGCAATCATACTCTAATGTTAGTTTGTAATCCACTTCTTTTTACACGTGATGACTTTTCCATGTCAATAAATATTTCTTCTTTTAGTGTCTTCCATTACTGAGTTAAGATTCCAGTCCCTCATAGCCAGACATTTAGGTGGTTTCCAAATCTCTGCTCTGATAGACAGTTACAAGATTGGCCCTCTTGTAACTGAATCACTACCCGCATCTTTAATTAGTCCCTTACGCTGAATTCCCAGGAAGAACTGGTGGGTCAAAGAGTATACACATTTTCAAGGCTTTGACTGCCCTCTGGATAGGTTAATTATTTTGCTTTTCCTGGAAAGTGAGAGTTCACTGTCCCTCAGCAGAGGGCATTAATACTTATTTTCAATCTGTGCTAATGTGGTATTTTAAAATGTCTTCTTATTGTTTTAATTGGCCAGTAAGAATGAACTACACCGTGTTTATTGGATTTCTTTAAGCAGTGAGCAATTCTTGATAACAGGTGCTTGTTTCCAACAGGTTTGGGGTGATCGGCTACTTCTTACAAAATGAGGGCACAAGAGGAAACATCTCATTTTTGACTTTTGAATATTTACACTCCCATGAATTAAAGTTTTGTTCAATTTAGTGTATGTATCATGGTCTAAATCCCTTGGGGGTGATCTATTTGTTTGAAGACCATTTTAAACACAAATTAAGAACAAATGATCTGATAATTATTAAGATAGAGGGCTTGGAGAAACTCTAGCTGCATCTCATAAATCCCATCAGTGTTCTCAAAAGCCACTCCAAATAAATATACTCTCAAAGGAAAAACTGTAGTAACTACACAAGCATGGCTTCAAGGTAAATCCTCTAGGCCTCCCTTTCAATCAGATTGTCACCCCTATCCAGGAGCTGCCCCTGGCAAATGGTCATAATTATGGGGACATTGAAAAGACTATTTGAAACTGGAGCTCTTCTGGGGAATCTAGGATTTGTGACTTCAAAAAGTAGAACATAACATAAATCCTGGACCTCTCATGTTCTATTTTTAAAACACATATCACAGTAAAGTTATATACTACTTTTTTCAAATTTAAAACTAGATAGGAGTGTGTGAGACTTTGAGAGACAGAGAGAGAGAGAGAGAGTGAGTGTGTGTGTGTGTGTGTGTGTGTGTGTGTGTGTGTGTGTGTGTGTGTAAAGTGATAGACTAACTTTCATGGCCCAGAATCTTTAATGAATTACAAATAATTAAGTACTCAGTGTAATCTAAAGTCCCTCAATCTCAGTTGTTGGCCATGCGTATTGGAGCTCACTGCTCAAATACGAAGCTCTGGGAGGCTTAACTGCCCTGTCATTGAGCTACCTTGGTGTCCACACACATGATGTTAGTGCTACTGGCCTTTGCTTAATAACTAACATCTGCCTTTCTGTCATCATCATCATCATATCATGAGTGTGACGTGAATGAAAACAAAAACTTAGAACAGAATCTTATGTTCTGAAACACAAACTTCCACTTGAAAACTTTCTGCTCCAGGACATGACAGTTCCCCAAATCCTGGATTTAAGAGGTAGACCTGTCCTAATTTTATCTGTCATTTCTGAGCTTCTTGAAACAGTACAATAAATACAGGCAAAATATATGTGATATTCATGTTATAGGAACACTTTGTTTTTACTGATTTTTTTCCTCTGTTTTTTCCAGGTTAAATATACCTAAAGATAGTTTGATTCCACTGACAAAACGAGACCAAATGAAACTTGACAGTATCCTGAAGAGACCTTATGTTACCTGCCAACCATTTTGGAGAAAAGAAGTATAAGATGTTTCTTTTTAAAATTCAAGTATTGTATATTTGTCTTTCACTTATTCACATAGTATTTTGAAAATATCCTTCTTGAAACTTTATATAACCAACAACTAACATTAGTGTTGTTTGGCAGTAAATAGTTGTTGAAATTCAATCATATGAGTGTTAATAGATGAGATCAGATGAATAGAGCTGGTCTATTTTTACCCTCTTCATAGCTAGATACCTATTGTTGATGGCTGTATTACAGTTTGGAGGATTAAAAAAAAGAAGAAAAGAAGTCATTACAAAGCTCTCAGACCTTTTCTAGTTACTGAAGGCATCCATACTGCATATTCTCAAGCCTTGTATTTTTAGCTGTAGCAGCTCTAGAATATTCTGGGTGACCCTAAAGGCTATTTATTGCCTGCGGTTTTAGAGAATAAAATCAGTGTAGATTTACT